CCTTAAATATTGAGGGTAATATAGTTTCCTATATGGCATAGGAATGTAAAAATTCCAATTCAAAAATAGCCAGATTTACAACTGGTCGTTCAAAAATATCCCAGTTTCAAAAGTAATCGAAATTTAGTCATTTTTCATGTAAAGATAAATCTGAGCGAAAACACTGTTCAAAACCCGAAAAATACGCCAGTATATTATACTGGAGTTCCAGCATAAGTATGTTTGAACTCCAGCATATTATACAAGAATTCTAGGATAAGTATGCTGGAACTCCAGCATAATATGATGGAATTCCAGCATAAGTACACTAGAACTCCAGCATAATATACTGGAGTTTCAGCAAGTATAATTGTCTAGTAAAAATCAACTTATTTTGAGAAAGTGCTTTTTTCAAAATACTTTTAGTGAGAAGCAGTTTGTGTTTGACTAATTAATTTGAAAAACACTTCTGAGCAGCAATTAGTGTTTGACCAAGCTTTAAAAAATTATTTCTAAGTGTATTTTTCTTAAAAGTGCTTTTCAAAAAAGTGCTTTTGGAGAGAAACTACTTTTTCTGCTTCTCCAAAACTGCTTCTGCTTCTCTTCAAAAGTACTTTTTTCTCCTTTCAAAAACTTGGTCTAACACCTTAATTTTAGAAAAAAACACTTTTGAGCTAAAAAGGCGCTTTTGCCTCAAAATAAGCTTAGCCAAACATGCTATAATTAACATTATTCCATAAGCAATATAGGCATTGGAAAAAGAATCAAATCTTTTTATTTGACCAAATGTATCAATTAAACTGTTATTTTCTAATAGTTCTATTTTTCATAATACTTTTAATTCCGAAAATAAATCTAAATCATCTATATCCACATTTTCATAAAATTGTTACTTCCTATATATCACACGTTTCTTACGAAATTCGGGTTTGATATTCATTTCAAGTGTAATTTTCTTGGCAAAAATCATAGCAGTTGCAAATCCTCTCTATACTTGTTAAAGAAAGAAATTAAACTTCTTCACTTCACATAACCTTTTTTTAAATTTATACATAGCCTGTTAGGGTAAAAAAGCACGGTATAGCCAGTTTTCGGACTGGTCATTCAAAAATAGTCAGCGTTTACGAAGTCAATAAAAAATAGCCACTATTTTGCTGCAACAGAGACCGGTCCAGCATAATATACTGGAGTTCGGTGCACCTGTGTATGAACTTCAGCATATTATGCTGGACCGGTATACTTTGCTGACTCCAGTATAATATATTGGAGACTGGAGCATCGGTGCTCCAAACTCCAGTATATTATACAGGACAATTATACTTGCTGGAACTCCAGTATATTATGCTGGAGTTCTAGTGTACTTATGCTGGAACTCCATCATATTATGCTGGAGTTCCAACATACTTATCCTGGAACTCCAGTATAATATGCTGGAATTCAAGCATAAGTATGCTTGAACTCCAGTATAATATACTGGCGTATTTTTCGAGTTTTGAACAGTGTTTTGCTCAGATTTATTTTACATGAAAAGTGGCTAAATTTCGATTACTTTTGAAACTGGACTATTTTTGAACGACCAGTTGTAACTGGCTATTTTTTAATTTCTCCCCCTATTAGGTATAACAAAAAATGGGGCCCCCGCAAATATGGGGCCTAAAGTCGTTGCTTTACTTGCTTTATGGAAGGGCTGCCTCTGCAAACAAATTCTTTTATTATAGTATTAAATATTAATTTTATATTTTAACAATATCTATGATAAGCTTATATCCTTTTCTGCTTTTATGTATAAAGAAATTCTATCTCAATCGATTTAATTTCTTTATTTTAGTTGAATATTAAATACTCAAAACCGAAAAAAGATAAAGAAAAAAAGGTTCTCATTATTGTATAAATTAAATGAATTATTTAAGAAGAAGAAACGCTTCTTGCATAGCAGAGGGCAGAAATGCTGAACTCTGTTTCTCAAATTTCTTTAATTAAATCTTTTTTTAAAAGTTTTTTAAAGACTTCTGCAAGATCTTTCTTTTCAGAACTGTTATTCTGAAGAAGTGGCATTGGGATATCTCCCAGAAAAGTTTTTCTTCCACCCATATGAGTATACTTATAAATTTTCAATACACGTTTTCTTTATTGCAAAAGCTGTTTTTCTGAAAGAAAAAAAAAATCGAAAAATTACCGGAAGATGAAGGTAGCAAAGATGAGGATGTTGAGGTGGATGTGCGCGTACACAAGGATGAATAAGGCTAGGAATGAAGATATTCGGGAGAAGGTGGGCGTGACCTCTGTGGATGACAAGATGCGAGAAGCGAGGCTCAGATGGTTCGGGCACATGCGGAGGAGAAGCCTTGATGCTCCGGTGAGGAGGTGTGAGCAATTGGCTTTGATGGATACGAGAAGAGTTGGAGGGCGGCCTAAGAAGTATTAGAGAGAAATGATCAGGTAGGGCATGGCACGACTACAGATTTCCGAGGACATGGCCCTTGATAGGAAGGTCTAGAGATCGTGCATTAGGGTTGTAGGCTAGGAAATAGTCCAGCTTTTTCGACCTCATACCGGGGATGAGGCTGGTTTGATAGGATTGATCTTAAACGGCTAGTAGTTAATGTTGTGTCCACAGTATCCTTTCTATTTTTCATAGCTCCGGGCCTGAATTACTGGTTATTGTTATTGCATGTCATATTTTTTATGGTTTTTATGATGTTGTTACTATTTCTATGGTTTCTGTTGACGATACTGATAAATTGTCTCTTCTTGTTTTCTTTCCGTCTTCCTGAGCCGGGGATCTATCGGAAACAGCTTTTCTACTCCATCGGAGTAGGGATAAGATCTGCATATACATTATCCTCCTCAGACCCCACTTTGTGGGATTAGTCGTCGTTGTTGTTATTGTTCCAGCTGAGTCCCAATAAATAAGACGCATATGTTGACTCTACAAACAAAATCACATGTTTGGTTTGAGAGCCGATTCGAACACCAGTGAGACTGGTTTCTATAAACCAAGTATACTAAGAATGTCTTGTTTTCAAAACCAGACATGTTTTAGATTATGTTTCTCGTGATTTTTCAACCATAAACCAGACATGTTTAGTTTATGTTTCTCGTGATTTTTCAACCAAAAAAAAACTTCTAGAATGCTTTGTAGCTTTAGAGATTTTTCCCTAGAAAAGTTTTCAAAATCAAGCAACTTTTTAATGTGTCCTACTTGCGCGAATGTGATCATTTCTAATCTTGTACATCCAAACATCCATCTTACTATCTGCACATTAACAACAGTCGTCTTATGAATATGTTGAACTTTAGTTACCCATCACTCTGATTACAAGACGACATGTTGTATAATAATCCTATCCCAAAATAGGAATGAGAGTGGTAATATCTTTAAAATGTTGCATAAACTTAAAAATGTGACAGAAAAATCTTCTCAATTATTGTAGTAGGTGTTAGATAAAAGGAAGGACCACATCTCTGAAGTCCCTCCATAACCTCTCAAAGCTTCCATTCACATGAACCACAACATTAAACATATCCAGAATAGGTAACATGTGAAACTCCAAAGTAACACACAAAACATGAATTTCACTGTCAAAAGGAATCAGAATACATCTTTACAGATTCTAATCACATTACAAGTATCGCGGATACCATGATGCAAACGATGGTTCATTGAACGTCACAAAACTAATCGATGCAGCCACTGGTTTTTGATATAGTCTCTTCCAAGATTCATGCACACATACAAAACCTTACTAGTTGTCTTTCCTTTCATTATTCAAATAAAAAGGAAATGAATTACAATATTTCCAGGAACCAGTCGATACATGTATAACATGCAAGTGCAACATTAGTAAAGTTCAGTACCCACTTTGTGGTCCTTATATTCATTGTAGATATAGCAATATGGGTAATAAATGAGAAGATATTTAATTTCCATTCAAGAGGTAGTGGAGTAGATGGGCTTACATACCTATCTCTTGATACCAACAGAAAGAAAACCAAGTCTCTGCAAGTTGATGAAACAAGTAGCAAGTGAAGTAATCACATTATCTTCTTTCCTTTAAAACGTACGGAACCATTGACCCAGCTATCTTTTCTGACCTGCACCCTGCAAAGGAAAACTCTGGCAAAACATGAAGGGTGAAAGAGGGTGTTAACTTGCTTTCATTCTAATGTACTTTGGCCTAGTTGGAAACAATTGTTAAATGAAAACAATTGAACAAACAAGGCAAGTGATGCACCTTAGCAACCTATCATCTTCACATATGTTTTCCCTTTAAGGTCCAACGTTAATCGCGTGCATCCAAGGGGAAAACTATAAAGATTCATCTTTCTAAACTGTTAGTCCTTTCAAAAGGAACCCTCGTCAATGCTGGAGCTATCTCAATCTTTAGATTGTGTCCTCTGTGTCAACCACAACCATCTCAACTATGCAAAATATGTCTGGGAGTCAAATGTATTCATTCAAGAAAATCTGCACACATATATTGAGTGGCTAAGTAAATAAAATACTGACCTATGTTGCTCGGACTCTCCGAAAATGTAGCGGGATACATGTCGGGTCCTCCAAAAGTAGTGCATTTTTGAAGGATCCAATACGGGTGCGGCTACATTTTGGAGAGTCCGCGCAACATAGAAGCTGACCAATCGGCTTCTCCAACTAAAGATCCATGTTAAATCCAATGTTGATAAATGCTACCAGTTTTTACATTCAGATGAGCACTGTATTATGTTTCAGTTAATATTACCCGACACGAAAATGCAAAATAAGGGTACAGAAACATACATCTACAATTAACAATATGCATTAGTCATGTCACCAACAATCAGCAGCAGGGGGGTGCAGATGCCAAGCTTCAACAAACTACATATCCAAAAATCACAAACCTTATCGTCGACCCAAAAATCACCCCAAACAGCAAGCAGGCAATGCATTTTTAAGGAAACTTAAACAAGCAACATTATGCTTGCAATACAGGCAGCTGAAAGCTTCAGGAGAACTGTTTAATGCAAGTAAAACCACTATATAATTATTAGCAAAGGTCGTCTTGTCTTGAGAAATATATAATATACCCCTTTAAAAAAGGTTTGGAATTTATTGCATTCAGCTCAACCTAGCCTTACAGATGGCACTTGCATCCAAAATCTGATGATCATATTTTGTGTACCTATCATGTAAAATTACAAAGGCTATACCAAGCCTTACAGATGACACTTGCATTCAAGATCTGATGATCATACTTTGTTTACCTATCATATAAAATTACAGAGGCCACCCAATGCAAACCTACAACCTAAACATTCACATTCGCTTAATGGCGGGGAGGAGATATACAGCAGTATGTAACCCAAAAGCAGATTAATTACACAACGACCTGGTAAAACCACAAATGTCAGATCATCCAGCAAATTCAAGCGAACTTGGGTTTTGGCATTGGCATTGATGAAGCAGTTTGATGTAACAAAGCATTTTGATGTACGGGACCAAGCTTTTGGATCCAATGATGAAGCCCTTTCTTGTGATCTTGCAACATTGACTTTTGCACAGGATTCAGAGTTCCGTCATGAGCAACTGATGACTCGAACTGCTCCAGTACCTTCACAATCTGCCAAAACTCAGGCCTCTTTTCTGGCTGCAGAGCCCAACACAGTTCAATTAAAGCTTTCATGGCTGGAGGGCAATCCCCAGGAATAGGTGGTCGCATATTCTGAAGGCCAAAAAGACAAGTACTTTTAGGATTACATATAACCCTAATTCGCAGAATATGAAGAGGCATCAAAAGACAAGATTTTTGCTGGAAGGGACGGAGGATGCCCGAGGGGTATGTGGGTTGTTATTACGTCAAAATATTCAGCCATGCAGAGGTCAAAGTTATTTGCGCCAACAAGTTCTTTGGGAAGGAAATAAAGCGTTTAGTGAATGATACTTTACCATTCAATGATAATTGATTATAAAGCTCAAAATAACACAATATAACAAGAGTGCCAGAAATAGATGAATAAGAAAACACCGAAATTTGGAGCTTACCTTGTTTACGACAGCAAAAGCAGCCTGTACTGGTGTCATATCTTCATAAGGAATGGTTCCAGCCACCATTTCCCATAGAATGAGTCCAAAGCCATACACATCAACCTTCCGGCCATATGATTTTCTCTTAATCATCTCTGGTGCCATCCAACGGTAAGTACCTGGATCATCAGCCAGGAGATCACAGTATGCTTCCTCACAAGCAATTCCAAAATCAGCAATTTTCAGGTGAAATTCCTCATTGATAAGTATATTCTCTGGTTTGAGGTCCCGATGAATAATGTCTTGTGAGTGAATATATTCCATTCCACGAGCAATATCCATGGCAAGTGCTATCAATTTGCCCAGGGCTAGGGATTTATGCTCAAGCTTATGCAGGTATGCTCTCAAAGAACCCTCCGATAGATACTCAGTAACAACACAAAAGACTGGTGGTTGTTTGCATGCACCTACGAACTGCAAGGGGTCATATGAACCAAATCACAAAGACGTTTTATAAGGAAAACAAGTTAGCACAATTGCTCTATTTTCTAAAAATGGAGACTATAGTTATAGAGGCAAATGATGCAATGAAATTTTTTAGGCAAGATAATCAGACACAGTTAAATAGATGCAACAGCAGAGTTGCATATACTTAAATGAAATGAACCAGATAAGAAATTTAACTCCATTTTACTACCTTTACAACATTTGGATGGTGGAGACGAGACAAGAGAGTAACTTCTCTAATAAACTGATTCTCCAATCGAGTTGCTAAAGCTCCAATTTCGTCATCATCTGTTATTCTAATAATTTTCACCGCGACAGCCTCATCCTTGTATTTCCCATGATAAAGCTGACTGTGCGCACCGTGCGCAAATCTTAGCCCAAGAAACAGCTTAGAAAGATCAATTGTATACTCATCTGCTGTTTCTACAGAACTGACCCTACCACCACCATGATCAAAGTACCTACTCCATGCTGAATCCTTCCGGCTCTTTGATTTATCATGGAACTTCATTGATGTGAAATGCCGAAGGGGGCTTGTATTTGCTGGAGATCTTGAACCAGGAGACCTTAACATAGGCGACTTTGTTCCGCGGGAATCTTTGTGAAACGACTTGCTCATAATTTTCTTCTCATGTTCCTTCCTTTGTGGATGTGGAGTTGAGAATCTCTTCTGACTAGATCGAGCTTCCTTAAAGGTATCGGAAATTGCTGTTTCTGGATGAGGTGATTCAGTCCTCTGTTTGTTTGTAGTTGGGTTGCGCTGAAGTCGCGCAACGGCCGGCTCAGTTCTTGGATTAGGAGAAGCAGTTCCAGGTCTAGTTTTTGCACCAGCAATTCTTTCTGACTGAATAGTAAAAGGAATAGAGGCCAATCTTGCAGAATCCAACCTATGACAAACTGTATGAGAAAACTTTGTTCTCCTAATCCAAGAATTAACCTCTTCATCCATTTTCTTTAATCAGCCTAGAACACCTGATAACCAGTAAAAAATCTGTTCTTTTCCTCCTTTAGCTCAGAAGAAGTTTCAAATTCAAGAATTCCCTTCAAATCCCCTATGAAATTTACCAAGTTTTCTACTGACAATTTCTTCAAGTCCATCAAAGGGTGGTAGTAAATCAAGAAATCAAACTCCAACCTTCAAATTCAGTGTAAACATCCCTCATACAATGTGCAGATAAACCATAAATGATCAATCACCTTAAAAACAACCTTTTCAACACCAAAACTAAAGCTGGAAAAAATCCCAATATCTCTATCAACTAAGCCAAAGATCAAAACTTTTTAACCTCTAACAAACAATAGTTATCAGCAAATAATACCATCAAACTTGTAGGCCTACCAAATGCCACTTTCATACCCATCATCAGACAAAAAACCAAACTATTACCTCAAAAAGCAAAACAACCCCTCTTCAGCTCCAAAGTCAAACACCCCCACCAGCTTCTTTCAAAACCTGGAAGATCCCACAAACAGATTAAAAAATTATAAATATATAAGTTTAAAAAAGAAAAAGCCAAATGAAATAACATTAAAAAAGCATACTTAATTGGATTAAAGATAAAGAAATACACATCATGATAAACCCCATTAACCCACCAACTCAGGTAATCATTTCGCCAAATACAAACCACAAATCGATAAACTAATCAAGAAATATAATAAAGAATAAAAAACACCCATTTTCCTTAAAAATACCCATTTTCCATAAAAACAAGATCCGTGTACCAACACACTTACCCAAAGGGTATTTTTCTTGATTTTTCCAAAAAAACAACTCATCTTTAACACAAACTCTTTGTATTCTTTCTTCACTTCTCTCTCTCTCTCCTCTCTCTTAAGCCATTATTAAATGTAAGAGAGGAAAGAGAGAAGAAAAAAATCAAAAACTCCATTTAAAACTAGTATCCTTATTCATATAAACTAGACTAGGGGGTTGTATCTAAATAAAAATACGTACAAAGTTATACGTGAGGTGCTTTATGTGGACCAATTGTTGCACGTAGATGATTCATGTGGACCCGGTTTTGTTGCTGACTACAAAAAATTGGGCTATTCTAGTGGGCCCTAGGAGTTTGGGTGGGTGATGGAAAGTGGGTCCCATTAGAATAGTCAATAAAAGACAGAGAGAGAGAGATATTACTAGTTATATATCAAAGGGAATAAAGCAATTTAATTGGGAAGAATACAAAGTCCCTATCAGAGAATTGAGGTACGGAATAAAGGAAAACTCAGATTTTAAATCCTTTTTTTTCTTTTTCGTTTTAGCTTTGTTATTTTTAATACTTTGATACGGTTAAATGGTAGGGTTGTCACGGATATGGAGGATTGTGGTTGGGTGAGTAGACAGTAAATTCATACTATTCCTCTATACTTTTTAGGTGACACAATTATTACTTTTATATATATTGCTTTCAAATATGTATATATGTATATTTATTAAAAAACTTAAAGAAATTATCTGAAAAATTATATCAAATAATAAATAGTTTAATTCTCATACTTTATATTTTGCCACATAACATAAAACAGAGAGAATATATAATTTCTTCCTTTTTCTGAAAAAGTAATAATTTTAATCATAGAGTAATTTTTTAGTCTAGTTTGATCATTCAATTATTCAAATAAGCATATATGTACGTTCGATTAAAGAGAATCTATATTATCTTATAATTAAAGCTAATGGAGATAATAGATGCATTATTAATAAATAAAAATATAAAAAGAAAAAGAAGAGGATAAGATCAAGTTCTTCAAAATGAAGTGAATCGGTACATATATGTAAATGAGCTTAAATATAGAAAAAATATGAAACTAATAATGACAGTCAATAATAGTTTAGTTAATTATTTAGTGGTACTTATAAGTTATAAGTTATATTTTCTGCACTCACTTTTAGTTGTCAAATATTCTAAAAATAATTTATTATTTTTATATATTATTTTTCGCATATTAAGAGAAAAATATTTTTTTTTTCTATTTTGCCCTTAGCATTAATTATTTATTTCAAATCAGTTTTCAAATCCATTAAAATTATATATCAATTAATTAAGACCATAGTAAATTATACACGTTATTTATTATTTGCTAATAAAAGTGCAAACTAGTAAAAGTGAATGTAGGGAGCAAGAATCATTCATGCCCCTATTTATTTAATACTAGAAAAGTCAAAGAGAAAAATGAGAGTGACATGTCCCATGAGGATGGGAAAGGGCGAAGATTTATTAGGGACTTCATATGAGAATCTTAATGTAAAATTCAAAACCAGGATCATAATTTCTTAATTTAAAATTTTCTCCTCTTTTTGGGTATTAATATGAGGCTCACAGTGGTATACCTCAATTTTTATCCAATTAAAACTCAACTTTCANCCTCCGCACCCGAAAAACTGTGATATTGGCATGGAATAAGGTTTCTTTAACTTGCTGGTGCTTTTATTTGACGGATATAGAAAATTTAATATTTCTTGTGATTTTTTAATGTTACCGTTAAAGGCGTGGTTGGATGGAAAGTGGTGTCTCTATTCTTGATCGGATATCTCGAATTAATTCTGAAATGAAGAAATCCATAATAAAAAGCGCCCTACATGATAAAAATTTGAATTAGATTGGTCGCTATGTACCAAATGCCACATGATCATACAAAAAATGATTTTCTATTTGTAATACAATAACAATAATCAGTAAAATTTTACTAGTGGAGTTCGGGGAGGGTAAACCTTACCTCTATCCCAAGAGATAAAAAGGTTGTTTTCGAATAGTGGTGGAGCCACCTTACAGGAAGGGGTGTCAAATGACATCTCTTTACGGAAAAAATACAGTGTAGGTTGGTCAAAAAAAATATATGTATATATATTATGTATTGACACCCCTTAATTTCTTGGTATGTTTACTTATTATATTTTGACACCCATTAACGAAAATTCTAGCTCCGCCACTGTATCCGAAAGACCCTCAGCTCAAAAAGACGAAAAGAGACAATATATCATTACCATCAATAAAAACCATTAAAAAAAATAACAATATTACAAGAATCAGAAAATAAATAAAAAACAAAATAATAACTAATAGATAAAGCCCCGCACTAAGACCAAGCTACAAGATGGATTACAATGGGCATGTTTATTCTTGTCTTGTTTTTTCTTTTCACAGAACAACGATTCTCTTAATTTTAAGGGGTCGTTTGGTTTGAAATATATAATGAGGTTTTATTTCGTATAAAATTTCATATTACTTACATATCGTTGGGTTTCTGATATAACATATGCCTAACTAACATAATTTGTCACATAAATAATAAAATGTCTAGTTTTATATGATGGATGTGGAAAATTTATCCTTTTTGTGATTTTCATATACCGGTAGATATTTTTGTAATTGGATGGATGAGATCCCTTCAGCTTTAATCATAGGTATGAGTGTTTATCTCAAAAATACGAGTAACAATTAAATTTGATTTGTGGTTTTAAAGATACGTGATTTAGTTCAATACTAATTAATAATCAAGAAGTATAACGTAAAAATGAAAGAAATGAGTAAATCAAACCAGTGTTGCTAGGCAGTATCGACCTTGAGCCAAAGTGACCTTGAGATGGATCAAGAACAATAAAGCAAGAATAAAAAAGTTAAAGGACAATTCTGATAAATAATGAGCGAAAAAGTAAGAGAGTATATTCTTTGTCAATGATTAGATGATGTTTACAAATGATTGGGGTCCCCTTTATATAATAGGGGAACCCTAAATAAGGTACATTTCTATTTACAGTAAAGAATCTCATTGGAACAACTGTCTAACGGCCTAGTACGTATTTGTACAAATCTATTTCGGGATTTACGCCATGATCTTGGGGACGTAGCAGGAATCTTGCTCATTCTGTTACAAATCCATAACGGCATGATCTCGAGGCCAGTCACATTAGGCTCCGACATTCCTCGAACACTTGATTCTTCGAGCTTCGTACTCTGTCATTGAGCTCGATCTTGGTCCCTCGAGCTCGAACTCGATCCATCCCGAACTCGGGCTTAAGGTGACCCCTCGAGCCCGAAAAATCAGGCATACCTGATTTCGACCGTATATAGATAGTCCCCGCATTTCTTAGAATAAAATAATAAGAAACGATTTGATCTTCGATGCTCTGACGCCTCGACCATGATGTCAATCTTGTGATGTTAGCGGCTGAAGTGATTGAGAAGTCGCTTTCGCGTAGTTCCCAAGGTCATTAATTGGAGGCGGCTGATGGTCGGCTATTTGGCTTCCCCAAAACGCTTAAGCGGCTCTATAAATAGGCCAACTTCATAATTTTGCAAATTTTACTTCTCAAATTATTCTTAAAATCTCTTTAGCTCCTTCAACTTCTTTGAGTTCACCCTCTTCTCAATTTGCTCTTACTACAACACCTACTCTTTCTCCTCTCTTGAATTTATAAACCGCAATGGCTAAAACATCTAAAACCGTTCCTCAGAAAGAAAAAGCTTATTTATCATCTCAGCCGGCCAGAGGTAGAACGGTGGTGCCACCTCGTATCGAATAGTGTATTCCTGGACTGTGCGAAATAACTTCCGATTTTAAAAACGATAAACCTGCTTCGACCTCAGGCCGTTGTGAGCCCATGTCTTGATACATCTGCTTGACAACTGAAGGTGAGCTTGAGCAGGTGAAAAAGGACTGCAACTGGGAGAATAAAGATGTTGTGATCCCCTCCCCTGAAGAAGACATCACTACCCATATAGCGGGGTAGTTAAGCGTGTATACTACCCATTCACGTTAGGTCTTGTAGATCCAACTATGGGTTCCATAGACCCAGTAATTCTTGATTTTTGCCAACAATACCAGGTGCCGCTTGGCCAAATCTACCCTTCATTCTAGCGCATCTCAATCTGATCCTATATTTCTCGGGCCTGGTCGAGGGGATGCCTTTTACCCTCGACCACCTGATCAGGATATACATCCCTCGCCTTTATCGAGGTGGTCTGATAAAGTTGCAACGCCAACCCACAAAATCTCTCTTCTCCAGCATCAATGAGGACAAAGATCGAGAATGGATGAGCCGATTTGTCCGAATCAGGACCTCCGATCTGATTCCTGCTGAGAGGATGCCATTCCCCGAGGAGTGGAACATGAAACGTAAGTACAGGTTTATCGATGGTGACTTAATATTTTGCTTTTCCTACTCTTTCTTGATCTCATCCTTTACTCGATCTAATCCATTTCTGATGATGCAGCTATTTCTTGGTTTCCCGGCGCGGTCCCGGACCTCGCAGGTTGGGTCCGACAACTACCCTTCACCTCTTCATATGCAGAACGTAATTGGCGTGATTTGGCCAAGGGTCGGTGGGAAGCTAAGAACCATGATGAGTTCTCTTGTTCACATATTCGTGTTTCTTAGTGAAATACTTACTTTATCATTATGCAGGTCTCGGAGACGTCGTTGCTATGCGGCTGCCACCTCCCGGTGAAGAAGAAATCCCAAAGCCTACCAAGGAAAAGAAGAGGAAAAGGGGGTCACCTCCAAGTTCCCCGAAGCCGAAGAAAAGCAAGGCTCGAAAGCCTAAGGTTGATATTGTGGCCCTATCTCCAGAAACGGCCCAACGCCTTAGGGATGAGGAGGGAGAAGATGACGGTTGCCTATTGGTAGCTCGGAAAAGACGAAGCAGTGGCACTTCGAAGAGTGCTGAACCGATAGTGGCTGATGTGGTTCATTCTCGAACTGAAGAAACCTCGGAGGGGAGTTCGAGCAAAGTCCCCGAGCCATCGGGCAACAAAAGAGCACCTCATCTTGGAGGTCATTTGGCATGTGAGACCGAGGGTCCCGGTTCTGAGGCCCTTCAAAGAGAAGAGAATGTCCCAAGTGGATCACTTGGGATAATCAACGTAGATGAATCACCGCCTGGTCCTGAGT